AAACATCTCCTGCCACACCCCAATTATCTTTCTTCCTTTTTTGTTTTTCTTCCCTGAAGTTTATCTTTGTACAGATCTGAACAGAAACAGTGTTTCGGTGTCTCTATTTCGGACAGGGATTACTTCCTCGATTGAGTTAAAAATTGACTGTTGATTATCGCAGTGTTTTATCCTAAAGAGTCTCTACTAAAATTCTTTCTTTGAGATTTGCCTAACCCCCACTGCAGTTAAAACCTCGGTAGGTGCAAATCATGTGGTTTATTTCATACTTGTTAGTGCATTGGAATCACTTCAAAGCATTCAGGAAATATGAACAAGGAAATGATAGAGCCTCAATGCCATAGTAAGATTTATTCCCACCCGCCACGGTGCTGAGTCCTGCTAGCTAGTGCTGGCGGCAGCATCCCGGGGTGCGGCAGCATCCTGGGTTGGATGCCCACGGGAGCCCACCGCTTGCCCACCCTCCGCCCCTTCATGCCGCAGAGGAGTGGGAGATGGGCTCAGCCCTTGCGCCAGTCCCTTGCTGTGCCTCGCACGCCCTGAGTTGGGGATGGTACGCGTGTCCCCCGGCCGAACTCCTGGCTTGCAGACTCAGCTCCCACCCAGCTCTCCCCTTCGCTGTTGCTCCGCTGATAGGAACCGTGGGACGGGACTGCAGAAATGCTCTCTTCCCTTTCCAGCGCCCGCTGAAGCGCTGCGGTGGTGCAGCTGGCACTGCATCCTCTTCGGGCAGGTTCCCCTCCGGTTTTTTCCCCCACGTACGAGGCGGTGGAGGCAGCTCTGCTGTGGAGATGTGTGTGCCTCTGTGCACGGCTGGCTGACCACATCTGCCTGTGCTAAACAGCCTTCTGTGTCCTCAGCAAACAGCAAGGAAGACGTTTGACTCCCCCCAGCTCCGTGTAGCTTGACACTGGGCAGTGCCTTCAAGCGAGCCTAGTTCCCTCATTGCAGCTGGACAGGTGACTTGAAAAATGGTGACTTTTACTCAATGCCATCAATTTTATTCAATGCCATTCAGTGCCACCAATCTGGAGGACTTGAAGCAAGGAGGAACTAACAAGAATGCCTTAGAAAAGCTGAAAGTCCTTATTTACATCCAGAAATCAGGAAAAATATTATCCCTATACTAATTTAATCTTTTCCGACGTACACCACTACAGCTGAGCCAGCGCACTCCCTCTTTTCCTCATTTTAGAGCTCGGGACACAGGGAGAAGTCCTGGCATGCTGAAAGCAATGAAACAGTTGCCGGTTTGCCAGCTGGAGGCCAAAATTTCATCACGTGCTGGCCCAGCTGATGGGATCCTGATGTTCAGGTTGGCATCTGAATGGGTTTTTTTTCCTAACTAGATGTATTCGGGGCTGGCATTAACATGCTAAATTCTCCCCAGCATTAGTCCATTAACAAGAGAGATGTGAAGTATCTACAGGCCCCTTGCCTCCTTAGGAGGTGGGTGCCACGCTCACAAATCACCCAGCTGCTGTCCTTTAAGATCACTTACAACCACTTCACAACCCCCTTATTCACCCCTTTTCCCACCCTGCAGCAACGAGCAGTGTGTTAGCAAAAAGCCTCGGAGAGCATCAACTGTGCCTGCCACGACCACCGTGAAGGGATCTCGAGCTGCTAACAAGGAGATCTCACTTTTTGCGGGAGAAAAACCAGCCCAGTTATGTTGGATAACTTCAGCTGAGCCCTCCCTAGCCACCCTCATCCAGGCTGCAGCACTAAAACTGCCTTTCCTGGGGCATTCGCAGCATCTGCCGGCGTTGAAGGACGTGCGATTTGCAGGTACGAGACGGTGGCTGATGCGCAGGAAGCTCTGTGAGCGGGTAGCTGACCCATGTTGCAAAAAATTAATGGATTAGATGGAAGCTAAAATAAAGGACGTTCAGCTACGTCCTTCTCAGCAGGTGTCTGCTCTTGCAGCGTTGTTGGGTCATTGAGCGGCTTTACCTCAGCTTTCCATGGGGTGTATCTGAAAATGCCCATATGGAGTGAGCACTGATGTAGGAGGGTGAGCTTGGTTTCCTATCTGCAGGACAAAGCTGTCAGCTAAATTTTAATCTCATTTAATCTTAGGCTTTAGGCAAGGAAGTGTTTTGTTGTTGGTTTGTTGTTTTGTTTTTTTGTTTTTTTTTTTTTTAACAGGCAAATAGGCATTGGGAAAAAAAAAAAAGAAGAAAGGGAAACAAAAGAGCCAGAATTATAAACGCCAGAAATGCAGGCTTTACTAAGAAGTAAACCATCCATGGTTGGGTTTTTTTCATGTCTTCATTTCAGTTTTGTATTGTGAAAATGTTGATATGATTAATTGTCTGCAGCTGCCTGGTTAAACCGTTATCCTGCCGCCATCCACGGTGAGCTAGCTGCTGCTCCAACAACGGGCAGTCTCTCTGTGCGGGCTTGCAGCACAATTTGCCTTGTCCACATCACTTTTGTGCGTGTTCTTGGGAAAAAAGCCAGTAAAATAACTTAGAGCGTTAAAAAGGGGGGGGGGAGCACACTACCTTTAAAAAAAACCACACCATCTCTACATTTATTGCCACAGAAATAATTTGAAATTTCAGATCTGTTACACATCATAGGTGAAATCCATCAAATTAGCTCATATAATCGCTGTACAATAGCATTGTGCTCCAAACAATAGTATTTTAAGGGCAAATTGAGGATCACCTACCTTAGATTGTGATGCTTCTGTTGCTGGAAGTTTTCTCCTGCTCTGCCTCCAATTTGCCTGTAGTTTAATACAGCATTTCTTGTAGCTTGCAGTTCAGTTAGTCTTTGCTCAGTTCTTGATGTTTAACTTTTTTTTTTTAATATATTGATGTTCAGAGTTTAAAAGTGGATGCACTAAAAATTTTCATAAGTCTAGATGTGCATTGCTGAGCAAATTGGGGATGGTCAAAATACTTACAGGAACAGTAGAGGTGCCACCAACGTACTGACGATGGAACCCAAAAAATGCTCATTTTTAGCCACCTAACGATGCCGGTGACATCATGGAAGGTGGAGGGGAAGCAAAGAGGCCAGGAGCAGAAATGGCAAGAGTTTGAAAGGAATTCCCCTGCTCTATAGACAACTTGCAAAGTTTTATCACAAAGCAACTGTTTCTAAACAATAGTAGTAAAATGCTATTTGGTGTGAACCACTTCCAGGCAGAACTTCACATTAAGTAAGAACTTTGTGCATGTTTCCTCAAACTTCTGTGGTTTGAATGAACCTGAATGCTTTACGCAGCTCAGGGCTGTCTTTTGATCCCGTACTCTTTATGAATACAGAACAAAAAGATGGTTTCTGCTTCAAAGTCTGTTATAAAACAACCCCTGCAGTAAGAACAAAGCAGGTGATAATGCCATGCTGGTACAAGTGCTCCTTAACCAACAAATACGTGTTTTTCAGTCTGGTCTTTCCCTCCCCTGTGATACCTGCTCCGCACTGCAGAGCCTCTTCCACAAGGACATCACCTTCATTACCAGCAAAGCTCTGGTAACCCCTTGCAGTTCTGTAAAATGAATTTTTGGGCTCCTCCTTAAGGGTTGGCTTGTTTGTCGGTTTGTTGTTCTTGCCCTGTCGATCCCTGCTCGTAGGGCTTCAGCCCACAGAGTCATCTTGGGACTCTC